GTATGCGCTAGTCTCGAAAGTTTTCACTGTAGAAAACTATTATTTTGTTTTTAGTCCTTCCCCCCTTTTCCATTTTTTTGTGGACCATGCTCTGCGCACTTTTGCCGTAATCGTAAACGTAGCCGTGGTAGAGGCCAGATCCGGGTCCTTTTGCTCTGTTAAAGGACCCGGGCACGTTTGATGTGTCCTGTTTGTTTGCCTGCTTGGCAGGCATGCATAAATAAAGCTATGGGTCTATTTGCACGCTGCTGGGCCTTGGTGTGGGCGTGGCGTGCGTTGGTTCGTCTGCCCCCTTTTTAGACGCACGCTGGCAAATAAATTTGTTAAAGCCCGAAATGAAATATGTTTATGCAAAGCATAGCAACCAAAAACGTAGCCATGGCCGGAACCGTAGCCGTAACCGAAACCGAAAGCGAAACGAACGAACGAAGTCTAGGTGGGGGGCGGGGCAATTTGTAAGGCATTTAATATTCACTTAAATAAAACATTTGACATGTGTGTGCCCCATTATCATTTACTCCAAGCGCAAACAATTTTGCATCGGTCAGCAGCCGAGGGCCGTGTGCCGACAGGCTGGGGGCGTGGCACATTTTCGGTAAAATGCGAAAATTTGCTGTTGCAGCTCATTAAAATTGCCCGCATTTCAATTAAAATTTGAGGCGAGCAAACAAAAACGTTGTTCAGTGTTTGATTTATTTGCTGTAATCAAATGATGGCCGAACAACAATAAACAACAGTTATAAACAAAGAGCTACAATACAGTCATGCAGCATGAGCATTATACAACAGAGTGTTTGCACACACAAATACTAATGCACACATATTTATTGTGAGCTGTTTTTTTTTTTTTTTAACTAAAAAAGTGTTAAAGTTAAAGCGTTTTTAATTGCATTTTGCGGCTTGTTATTTTGCGGCAAGAAATATTAAAAATATATATATATATATATATATTTACTTTGTGAATAATATTAAATTTTAGAAAATTTAGTTCAAATTGTAATTTATAGTTTTCTGCTCATATTTGCTTTTACTTTTTGGTAAATATTTTCGTAAGAAATACTAATTATATCATTTTTGATTAAAAATAACTAATGAAATTTAATAGATATTTTTTCTTTTTTATAATTATATATCTTTACATGATTATGAAAACTATATACCTATTTAAATATTTTTTTTATTATTTATTTAAAAAAAAATATATTTTTCCAAGTCAGTATTCCTATATTATCGGTATCGTTCAATTATTTCTTAGAATTTTAAAACAGCATTTTCCTATTCACCTACCTTGATTTTCTACAGACTGATTTCTGCTTAAAGATGTGCACATATGCGTTATGTGGCCGCCAGAGGGCGATATCAGCAGACGCAATGCCATCATTACAAAAGTGATTAAATGCGCTTTCCTGAAGTTTTATGCTTAATTATTTCCATCAAAATCAGCTATGGAAAATGGGATATGCAAAGGATAACAATGCGCACAATTTGATAAACAAGCTCAGAGCGAGAGAGAGAGAGAGAGAGAGAGAGGGAGAGCAAATGAAAGCCAATTATCTTTATAAAACATTCAACGGCAGCTGCTTATGAAATCAGCAAAATTGAAACTTTTTCCCATTTGCAAATAATGCTGCAAAATGTCGACTATTGGCATTGCCATTGTCTTTTTGTTCCTTGTCTCATATTTATTTACGTTTAGCTTTGAAAATTTAAAGAGAAAGCAAAAGCAAATGTCAAATTTGCATAATTTCCGCAGGAAATGGAAGGCTGGAGCCCAATCGCAAGGAATCAATTGGGATTATGGGCAAAGAGCGAGTGAGCTAATGGCACCTGCTTAGGCATTTGCAGTAGAGAGTGACAGAGCGAGAGAGTGAGAGAGAGAGAGAGAGAGAGCAAGACGAAGAGATGCAGATAAAGGCAGAATCTGACTAGAGTGTGACTGATGCGGTTGCTGTTCACACAATCTGGGGCGGTCTTTGTCAACTCTTTGTCAGGCATTGATGCATTCACTGTCGGAGAGTTTGTCACGCGCTAACATTGAAAAGTGAAAAATCATGGGTGCAGCAGCGTAACCAGGGAAATATGACAAGTAAAGAGATTCGCATGATAAATGACGCATAAAGCGACACAAAGCCGGCAACAAAGGCGAACAGCAGAAACAAATGTAGTATGCGGCAAGCCAAGAGATGAAAGATCCAGACCCCAGCGAGTCCAAAGACCCAAAAGAGATGCCAAGAGATGCAGACCATAAGACATAAGATGATGGAGGCTGATGCTGATGATGGCGCACGTAGTTGCGAATGAAGATTTATGAGCACACATAAGGCATTCGACATATGCATAATCCTCTATATATGTACATATATACGTATATCATAGTTATACATATGTATGCATAGTTTGCCTTTAGATAGTTTACAACTCATTAGAAGTCGCTTCATTTAGCCACGCCATGAGTTGCCATAGCTGGCATAATTGCTATACTTAGTCGCATGCAACTCTTCAGCTTTCAACTTGAGAATGGCATTACTCATACGCCACGTTGCGCTACAAACTTTACAGAAGCTGAAAAGTGAGAATGAATTGAAGTGCTCACATCTAAATCAGCACGATGAAACTCAAATACTCTTCAAATAATTTATTATGAGTAAATATATGCATTATTTATTATTTTTGTTAAATTTTCTAAATTTTCCGCTTGTTAGTCATATCCAATCATTGCCTTAAATAGAAAAGTTAAATGCAAGAAATACAACTCACTCGATTTGACTATTTCAATGTAATCAAGAATATATATGTGTAGATGCATATACCCTGTACTTTTTGTAAAACAAAATCATAACAAAATTAAAATGTCTCTTGCAGACTCACGAAAATAATTTACCATTTTTTTTTAGCTCTTTCATTGCTGCGAATCCTGCGAACTACAGCTGTCGACTTTAAAGCATATGTAAAAAAATATATTTTTCTATGAAAACAAAAAATTTAAATCAAACACAACAAAGCCCACAATAAAAAACAAGAGAAGTGCGATAAAAGGAAAAAGGTTTAAATTATGTAATTGAATTTTTCTGTTAGGGGCTTTTTAATTCCTGTGGAGAGCAGGAAGACCTGTTTTGCCCAATGACAAAAATGGGAGATGGCAGAAAGGTGTTTGCTGCCAGGTGGGAGGTGAGCAGGTGCTGCATACACATTTGTTGCTATAATGGAATTGTTGAAATATAACGAGCCGCATTTAGCTGATAGAAACGAGCGAAAGCCAGGCTGCACATGGTTGGGCTCATTATCATTGAGTAGGCCCGTCATTAGGACAGGATACGTTTAATGCGCTGCCAAGGCTAATTAATGGCAAAATTCAGAGAGTGAGTGAGAGAGAAAAAACACCGAATACACTGAGAAAAACGCTAAGCAAGTGCCGAAGATCAAAATGAGTTGCCATCAATGCTAGCTGTCGACGAAAGCCAATCAAATGCTGAAACTAAATGCTCTGCAATGCCCTAAATATTGCTTCATTATGGAGCTTAACAAGTTTTTAAATTTGCTTAAATGCTTAAGAGCGCTCCCACAGCGCCCGCAGCTGAAATGGAGTGGAGCAAACAAAAAGCAAAATTCTCCAACACAGTTGGTGGGAAAGCTCGGCTGAGTTGCCTTTGAAAAAGTTACCTTAATCCTTAATTTAATCCGAAATGAATTTCACGCTGAGATTTCAGTCGATGGCAGGCAGTCGACGGCTAGATGCCTGGCATTGCGTCCGAACGGCGGCAATTTTTAACTGAATCAACATTTCGGGGATTTCGCTTCGAGACAAAGCACATAATGGCATATTGCTGTAAGTGCTAATAGCAAAGGTGACTGGAGTAGCAATTAATGGAGACAATGAGATCACAGATCATGCGACATTAACGTAGCACGATAATTAAAAATAAGCTAAAGTCTGTTCGACAATATTCTCTTCTTTACATTAAATTATTGTAAAGGTTCCCTTAAGCTCTTTACGTTGCACTGGAATTTCTTCAAGTCTGTCAAATATATGAGATTTAAGGATAGGCTTATCAATGAAATAATTTATTAATAAAATTACCGAACTTGCTATATATATGTATATATTTTTTTTGGTTAGAGTAAAATCATTCTAACTAAAAATGAATATAAGCCTATCTAGTTTCTTCTTAAAATAAAAATAAAATAAAACAAGTAAGAAGACTCTAGTCGAGACTGCTCGACTAGGAGA